GTCAAGTTTGAACACCCCTGATCATCTTCTCTTCTCTCTCTCTCTCTCCCTCCCCCCCCCTCTCTCTCTGGTCTTCAAACTTGGCAAGTTTAAGACTTGTGGACTTCAACTCCCAGAATTACCAAGCTAACGTGACTGGAGGAGGAATTCTGGGAGTTGAAGTCCACCAATCTTCAAGCTGTCAAGTTTGAAGACCCCCTGCAATAGAAGGAGTTAAAAAAAACCTATGACAGTCTTGCAGAAGGACCTTGTTTGAAAGTTTATATTTTGAAAAGCACCAAACCTTTATTAAACAAGCATTGGTCACCACTTGCTTTGGGTCAACGATGTCCACCAAAGGCTCCTTCATGGCCACATCCCGGATGCAGGTCATGTCGAAGCCGTAGACATTCTCCCACCCTGTCAAGGCAAAGAAGGGGATGGTTTTCATTGGCGTAAATAAGCGCTTACAGCAGCTTTTCTCAATCTTAACCACTTTCAATTGGGTGGACTTCAACTCCCAGAATTCCCCAGCCAGAGCAAGGGAATTCTGGCAGTTGAAGTCCAACATATTTATACACACCTGTTTAAAAGTTACCAAGATTCAGAAACCCTGGTCCTTGAATAAATCAAATTTAAGAGTGACCTGATTTCAATTAGTCACCATAATAATAATTTTATTTTTGTATTTATTTGAGTCCACCCTGCTGTGCCGGGAGATTTAGATTAGCTAAAAAGCAGGAAATCATTGGATTTCTTGTTTCCTAGCTAATCTAAAAGCAGAGCTGAACCTCCTTTAGGACTGAAGCTTCTATTTTTCAGTGCAGACTCAGATAGCAGATTGCAGAAAGATAGATCTCTGAATGAATCTGTGATTCTGTGAGCAACTCAATCTGCCTGCCTGCTTTGCCTGATTTTGGGTAAAAGTTGCTCTTTTTAAATAAAAAAATCAATATTTATATACATGGTGTGTTGTAAGTTAATTTTGTGGGTTTGCTTGCAAGCAAATTTTATGTGACAGACTCAGGCAGCAGATTGCAGAAAGGTAGATCTCTGAGTGAATCTGTTATTCTGCAAGCAACTCAATCTGCTTGCCTGCTTTGCCTGATTTTGGCTTAAAGTTGCTCTTTTTTATTAAAAAAAAATCAATATTTACATCAATATTTACAATATTTGCATGCAAGCCACACCCAGCCAGTCACATGACCATTAAGCCATACCCAATCAGCAAGCCATGCCCGCCCAGTCACATGACCACCAAGCCACACCCACAAGTTAGGCCACACCCACATAAATTTGAATCCCATCCCTGGCGAAGCTGTATAAGTTGTCTGCGGACTCACAGTGGATTTTGAAATCCTTGTACTGTCGGTCTTCGATGGCTACCATGTACAAAGCCGCTCGGTCTGGAAACATAAGCCCTCCAGGTTTCTGTTGACGAATTGTGTGGAAATGGATGTCTTAATCTATTCACCTAACAAAAACATCACATTTTTGAACGCGAATAAAAGTGACAAAACACAACAACCAGACAAAACATCCCTTCCTCTTTCATGTCACTTCACAACTCCAAAGGGCTTGGAAGGATGACATTCGGGGCCATCTCAAATCTTTCTTTGGTCTAGGACAAAGGTGAGGAACAATGGCCCCCTTCATGACTTGTGGACTTCAACTCCCAGAATCCCTGAGCTGACATGGGATTCTGGGAGTTTGGACGACAGATTAACAGAGTTGGAAGGGACCTTGGAGGTCATCTAGCCCAACCCCATCCCCACTCAAGCAGGAGACCCTACACCATTCTTGACAGATGGCAGTCCAGTCTCTCCTTGAAAGTCTCCAGTGATGAAGCTCCCACAACTTCCAAATAAAAGCTGTTCCACTGGTTGATTGTTCTTACTGTCAGAAAATTTCTCCTTATTTTCAGATTGAATCTCTCCTTGTTCAGTTTCCATCCATTATTCCTTGTCTGGTCTACAGGTGCTTTAGAAAATAGCTTGACCCCGTCCTCTTTGAAGTCCACAACTCATAAAAGGGCCATAGTTGCCCACCCTGGGTCTAAATGGTGTTTATATATGTCTGTGATTGATGCTCAAAACCAGCATGTCTCAACCCAGCAATTTTTAAGATGTCTGGACTTCAACTCCCAGAATTCTCAAGCCAGCATGGAATTCTGGGAGTTTAACTCCACAGGTTATAAAAGGGGCATAGTTCCCTACCCTCAGTCTGGAATCATTGAAATGGAGTAAAGGACAAAGGGGAAATTAGACCAAAACCAAACCAGAACCTGACTGGAGGAAGACAATGAAAATCATCTCTCCTTTTCTCTGTCACATTACAGTTCCAGAGAACAGGATGATCTTCCTTGGTAACTTTTAAGACACATGGACCTCAATTCCCAGAATTCCCCAACTAGCATGGAATTCTGGGAGTTGAAATCCACACATCTCAAAGTTGAGAAGATTGTCAAACCCTGATCTAGAAGCTTTACATGATGGGAGAAACGATTTTACCAGAAGTGAGGGCCATCTAGCGTTTCTCCCACACTTCCCAAAAATAAAAATATGTGTTCTGAGGATCTCTGGTTTTGTTTAACTTTTAAAATCCTGACCATATCAATGTCAGATATTTTCCCCACTAGTTAAAAACACACACACACACACAATTAAAAACTGGATCAAAAAAGGACAATGGGCAGTGAATAAAGTAAATTTTGGAAGCATGAATAGCCCTTGTGGTGGTTAATTGACTCTCAGTGAATAAAGTTTCTCATGTAAATCTGAATTTAAATTGTAACATCTAGTGAGGTCAAGATTTTGGCAGATTCATCTGTTTGTTTGTCTCAACTTTGGAGAGGTTGAGAAGGATACGCCTCCGTTTTTAGTTTTCATTTGAATGTGATTTAAGTGGGTTTCAAAAGAAGAGAATAATTGTAGCTCAGAGCTGAACTGTGGGGAGCTATTTGGTGCTCTCTGAGCTTGGTTGTTTTCTTGCAGACGTTTCATTACCCAAACTATGTAACATCATCATCAGTGCTAGAAGGGAGGAGGGATTGTAGGGGGGAGGAGGAGGAGGACTGTGGGGTCCTTAGTGCTCTCTGAGCTTGATTGTTTTCTTGCAGACGTTTCATTACCCAACTAGGCAACACCATCAGTGCTGGGACGATTGTTTTATAAACAATATACCATATATGTGAGCGATTGTATAGTAATGATTATGGAAAGATGGAAATACATACATTTTAACAAGCACAACTAAGCATTAGATATCCTTGGCATTCATATTTTAGTTGCCACTGAAATCGCGTGGCATCTGTCACTCCAAAACCAACCTTTAAAAGACCTTCTAAGAAGCTAATACGGTAGAAGATACCAAAGGCCTACCAGCCACTTGTCTCGAGCAAAGATGACTGTGTTAAGCATGGACTCATAGAAAAGGGAGTAACCCATCCATTCACTGATTATGATATCTACTTTGTCCACAGGCAATTCAATCTCTTCCACTTTGCCTTTAAATATTGTGATGACTGGAAACAGAATCAAAACACATAAAGTTACTGGAGTGAATCGGCCGGCTGTATCGTTCCCCCCTTGATATTCAAAGAGGGCCAGTTTGCAGCTGAATTTGAATCTGCATCTTCTTCACATAGGGAGGTCCTTGGGGACCACCTGTATTATTATATAATAATATAATATTATGTGATATTAATGTTATAATAATATGCATTATTGTATTATAATAATATACTCTTATAATCTTATATAATATTAATATTATA